CCACAGTGCCAGCCCCCTTCCTCTTCAATTTCTGGCTCTATACTCTCCTGGCTTTCCACCCATTCCCTCTGAGACCTTCTGGCTGGCTCTTTCTTCTCTGTCTACAATCAATAGTTGAAGTTTCTTATGGGTCAGGGTTAGGTCCCCTCCTCTGTCACCTTTTATTCTCTCTCTAGAATATATCATTTAGTTTTTTGCCTAAGTCCTGATAATTCAGAAGTTTGAATCTCCAGTCTAGATCTTACCTAAGTCTGTGTATTATCACTACCCAGGTATACAAGCTAAAAACTAAGATTTGTCTTGGACATATTCTCCCATCTCCTAGATGCAATATTTCTTGAAGTTCTATTGATATTATCTCAAATATATGTGCAATTCTTTTGCTTTTTGTGTCATATTTTCTGTCACATCTCCATGTACCAACATCTTGGGCTAGTTTCTTAACAGATTTTGTGTTACTAAAACAAGTACTTGAGTCTGTATGCTTTAAAGAAAATGAAAATTATTTGGCTCAAAATTCTGATGATTGAGAGGCACCAAGATGGTGGAATAGAAAAGTTGCTTACTGCTCTAGTCTAGAGGAAAATAGTTAAAAATAATGTGGAGAGAGTGCAGTCTCAGAGAAGAGTTAGAGAGAAAATGATAGACAAAACTCCATCCAAATTAGAGGGACACCATAGAACTATGTGGACATAGTTCTATGTGGACGTGAACAACTCAGGACCCCAGCAGCTGAGAGCCTCAGCACCAGCTTTGGAGAATGAGGTGAAACCAGATTGCAGCAGCCCAAGCCATTGGTGAAAAACGCTGCAGGAAGATCCTTGGGATGAGTCTGGCTTGGGGTCCTGTGAGGGACTTTGTACCTGCAAACCTAGAGGGAAAAAAAGGTACATATTTCTCTCTCCCTGACCACCCGGCCCCGGAATCCTGTAACCAGCCAAGAGGGTGGGTGCCATTTTGGACATATGTAACAGCTGCACCAACTCATGTCTACAACCAGTCAAAAGGAGACACCAGGGTCTGGCTGGAGGATTTATAGGGGACTGGGTTCTCATAACTGTGGGAGCCTTGTGTGCTGATATTGTGAAAACACTGTGGCTACCTGTGAGGGCTTAGGGTATGGCTGGGTCTTTGGGCAGTCACTGTGGCAGGTGCACACACTTTGGACTCCCTGATTAGCCAGTAAGGGTCATTGCTGCGAGATGTGTGCTCATGCCAAGGACTGCACAGATCTTTTGTGTGGTTCTTGCAACAGCATGGAATAGCACACAGACAGACACTGGGCTCCTTGCAGGGTAGGAAATAAGCGTGAGACTACACCAACAGAGCTAACAAACCTCCCCTCTGATTTAAAAAAAAATGAGAGATTTAGCACACCCAATTTGGGACTCACTTTGGACTCTCCCCTCAATCTGCAGCACTGAACAGAGCTCCGTGACCACCCAGAACAAGCCCCAGGATATTTGCTGAAAGAGCCTATACTCCATTGAGCACACAGAAGCGTAGTCCAAAGATAAAAAACATCAAAGTGAAAAAACAAACAAGTATCTTCACAAAGGCCTAAAAATAAATGCCCCCCAAAGGAACCCAATAACACTTCAATACTAGATTGTGAAAATGAAGAGGTTGAAGAAATGCCAGAAACAGAATTCACAGGATTACTTAGAAGTAATCAGAAGCAAATTTATAAACTAAAGAAATCCATACATGACACAAATGAAAAATTTTCTCGTGAAACTGAGATTCTAAAGAGAAATCAAAATGAAATGCTGGGGCCGGCGCCGCGGCTCACTAGGCTAATCCTCCGCCTAGCGGCGCCGGCACACCGGGTTCTAGTCCCGGTCGGGGCGCCGGATTCTGTCCCGGTTGCCCCTCTTCCAGGCCAGCCCTCTGCTGTGGCCAGGGAGTGCAGTGGAGGATGGCCCAGGTGCTTGGGCCCTGCACCCCATGGGAGACCAGGAAAAGCACCTGGCTCCTGGCTCCTGCCATCGGATCAGCGCGGTGCGCCGGCCGCAGCGCGCCGACCGCGGCGGCCATTGGAGGGTGAACCAACGGCAAAGGAAGACCTTTCTCTCTGTCTCTCTCTCTCACTGTCCACTCTGCCTGTCAAAAAAAAAAAAAATTAAAAAAAAAAAAAGAAATGCTGGAAATGAAGAATTCAAAAGAACAAATAAAAAATGCAGTGGAAAGCCTTAACAACAGATTTGTTGAGGGAGAAGAAAGAATATTGAAGTTGGAATACAAATCTCTGGACATTATTACAGTCAGACCAAAGGAAAAAAGAAAAAAAAATTAGAAAACTAAAAAACAGCATTGGAGATCTATGGGGTACTATCAAATGAAGCAATATATGAGACTTAGGAGTTCCTGAAGGCACGGAAAGAGATTGAATTAAAAGGGCTTTTTAGTGAAATAATTACAGAAAACTTCCCTAATTTGGAGAAAGTAAGGGACATCCAAGTACAGGAAGCACATAGAACTCCTAATAGACATGACCAGAAATCATCTACACCATGACATACTGTAGTCCAACTCTCCACAGTAAAACAAAGATTTTAAAATGTTCACAAGAGTAAAGCCAGATTACTTTCAGAGGATTTCCAACTAGACTCATGGTGGATTTCTCATCAGAAACCATATAGGCTAGGAGAGAATGGCAAGATATATTCCAAGTCTTAAGAGAAAAAATGTTCACTCCAGAATACTATATCCTACAACAGCTCTCATTTATGAATGAAGGTGAAATAAAGATCTCCCATAAGAAAAATTGAAAGAATTTGTCACTACTTGTCCAGTCTTACAAAAGATGCTTAAGTATGTGCTACACACAGACACAGAAACATGGTCATCACTATAAAAGAAGGTAAAGGCAGAAAATATCCCTGTAAAGGTACAAAGGAAATCCAAAGTAAACAACAGGAATATTTATGGAAAAATGGCAGGGCAAGTCATTTCTTATCAATAGTCACTTTGAATGTAAAAAGCCTCAACACTCCAGTTAAAAGATAGAGACTGGCTGACTGGATTAAAAAACAAAACTCATCTATTTGCTGCCTACAAGAAACACATCTCACCCACAAAGGTATATGCAGATAGAAAGTGAAAATATGGAAAAAGATATTCCATGCTAACAGAAACCAAAAAAGGGCTGGTATGGCCATCCCAATATCAGACAAAATAGACTTTAACATGAAAACTGTTAAAAGAGACAAGGGCACTATGCAATGTTTAAGGAATCAATTCAACAGGAAAATGTGTGTATACTAAATGTATATGCATCTAATTATAGGGCACCTGGTTATTTAAAAGAAATGTTAAGTGAACCAAAGGGAGACATAGCCTCTCATGCAATAATAATGGGGAATTTCAATACCCTACTTTCAGCAATGGACAGATCAACCAGACAGAAAAACAATCACCAGAACAGTAAATGGACACAATAGACCAAATGGACCTAATGGATATCTACAGAACTTTTCATCCTACAGTTGCAGAATACACATTCTTCTCAACATTGCATGGAACTTTCTCTAGGATAGACCATAGGCCAGGTCATAAAACAAGTCTCAGCAAATTCAAAAAAATAGAATCATATCATGCATCTTCTCTGACCACAATGGAATGAAGCTGGAAATCAACAACTCAAGAATCTCTAGAACATATCCAACATATGGAGACTCAACATGCTTTTCAACGAACAGTGGGTCATAGAAGAAATCAAGAACAGTTTTTTCATACTATTTGTTGAACTCTTTGTATAGAGTTTATCTTCTGTGTATAAAGCAAATAAAAATGCATCTTAGTAAAAAAATAAGAATGGGAATAGGAGAGGGAGAATAAAGAAGGGTTGGAATGGGGGTTGGATGGTGAGTACGGTGGAAGAATCACTATCATTATGTTCCTGAAGTTGTATTTATGACATGAAGTTTGTATACCTTAAAAAAAAGTTTCTGTTGAAAAAAAAATTCTGGTGCCCAAAATGTCCAAACACTGAGGTGCTGGTTTCTGGTGAGGCCCTCGAGGCTATGTCAGAACATAGCAGTGAAACAGAAAAGGAAACAGCCGTATGCAAGAGACCAAGCAAAAGTGTCCTTACTTCATAACAACCCACTCCAATAAGAACAAACCACTCTTGTGAGAACTCATTTTTCCCTTACAAGGGTGGTACCCCATGATTTACTAACTGTTCTGAAGGAGCCACCTCTCACAGTTCCACCATATCTCAGTACCATTACAATGCTTCCAGCTCATGGATTTTGGGAGACAAACCACATCCAAATCATAGTAAGTAGTAGACTCATCTCTTTACTTGTCCTCCTTATTCTGTCCCTCTACAGTTACCACCCTATTCTAAGTTAATTCCTATGTGGTCTTTTCAAATGACAGCACATGCTTTCATATCTTTGCTTGAAATATTGGATGACTTTTTTTCTTTTAGGATGCAAGCTTAAATTATTAGTTTTGCTGACAACACCATAAATTGTATGGTCCCTCCTTACCATTCCAGCTTCATCTCACATCATGCCTCCCTTTGATTTTCTGTGGTTTGTCTTCATTACCAATCTTCATTTCCTTAAGTGTCTGTGACCCTCCTGGCCCAGAACCTTTTCATATGTTGTTCCCTCTGTCTGGTTACAACTATTTCCTTTATCTCTAAGAGATCAGGTGTTGTCTCCTCCAGCCTGAACTGGGTGGCTCATCCTGTGCTTCTTCTCTGTTGTGCTGTAGTTTAATTACTTGTTTATACTCTTGCATCCCCACTTAAGAGCTCCTCAAGTAGCTCTTTGTATCTTTGTACCCTCAGAACAAACCACCGTGCCTGGCACATTATAAGTATTGTAATTGCACTATGAATGAATAAAGTAGCTCATTTAATATCAAGGAAAATAAATTATCACTGATAAAAAGAATTTATACTTTTATAATACATTGGAAATAAAGCATAATTTAAGAAAAAATTTTCAAAGAACAGATTTTATAGAAAATAAACATTTCCTTACTTTCTTTGTTTTTCCCATTGCCTTTAAGATGGAAAGATTGAGATCTTCAAGTGCTGCTAGTACATTCTCATACTCGCCCAAGTGCTGAGAAAAATATTCTAAGAAGTGAAAATATTGAAATATATTAGTGTTTCAGTGTAGATAATCACGAAACAAGAACACTTAATTGATGTTCTCCATAAATGAGTAAAAGAAATAAGATACTGTTTATACATGAAAATTGGAAGGTTTTCAAATGAGACTACCAATGCACCAATGTGGTCATTTGATTAAAATAAAAGAGAAAAAGAAACCTGAATGGTTACCATTATTCTTGAAGCAATGTTCTTTCCAATAAAAATAGGGAAAATGAATCTAGATCTACTGAAATGGCTTTTTCAATAAAAAACTTTTTCTGGAAAGCATGTTATTAAAGACATCACCACGGCAGTAATTTTAGAAAAAAGTTAAGCAACATCATTTTATTTATTTTTTTTTCTTTTTTTTTTTTATCTTTTATTTAATGAATATAAATTTCCAAAGTACGACTCATGTGTTACAATGGCTTCCCCCCCCATACCGTCCCTCCCACCCACAACCCCCCCCTTCCCACTTCCTCTCCCCCTCCATTCACGTCAAGATTCATTTTCGATTATCTTAATATACAGAAGATCAGCCTAGCATACCTTAAGTAAGTATTTCAACAGTTAAGCAACATCATTTTAATTCTTCCTCTGGGAAACATTTATGGAGGGTAATCTGTCTTCAAGGTTAAGAATTAGTGATGCTGCAAAACACGAAGGCCTCCTTTGGGTCCTTCCTTGTGACTGCTTCTATTGCGATTCAACTTTTTTCCAAGAATTTGAATGTAGGTCATGCTTACCATATTTGTAAAATGGTAGGAATAAACACTATATTGCATATTTTGTTTAAAGTTTTAACAATGGAACATGGACAAAGTCAGTCATGAATGAAATATAAGTCATTACAACAAGACTTACAAAAGAGTAATTTTAAATATAATAAAAAGTGTAAAGCCTTATGTTTACTTATAGAAATCTATATTTCTAAAATGTGATAGTTAACTTGGTAAATTAATATATTGAAAAGAACTATAACTTGCAGGTACTAGAAAAATCAATGACCCTCCCCATCCCTGTGAACCTTTGAGTGAGCTCCAGGTTATTATTGTGTCTCTTTAGTGTACCCTAAGTATTCTTGGAATTAAACTGAAATGATAATATAGTCACATTTAAGCAACCAGGCACACTGGAATAGATATCAATATGCTTGGCAGAAGCCTCTGTGAAAAATTCAATATTCCAGAAGGGATTATTTGCTGATATTGATAGCAATAACATAAAAGGTGTCACTAACTTATTAGTAAATAAATTCTAGATCATAGTTATCAAAATAGAGTATGTGCATGTATAGGTTAAAATAAATGAAATAGCAGAACACAGGAGCATGTGGAACAGAGTGATATAGAAAGAATGGTTAATAGACACAAGGGTTCAGTTGGATAGGAGGAATGTCTGATGTTGTATAGCACAGTAGGGTAATGTAACAATTGAATATTTCAAAATAGCTAGTAAACAATATTTTGAATTTTCCTAACACAAAGTAGGATGTCCTAGGAGATAGATGTGCCAATTACCCTGATCTGATTGTTACACATTGTGTACATGTACTGAAATGCCACACCATTTCCCATAAATATGTGCAATTACTGTATATCAAATACACAAAAACATTTAAGAAATGACATATTTGACAAAAAAGCAAAATGCATTCCTGATTATGTATTCTTTGAAAACAGTGTGATGCAAATCATTTCTTATAAAGATCCTATTAGGAAGGCATTAGCTGGAAGTTAAATGAGAAAGTACACAGTCCTTACATGTCTGATTTAAATTAACATTTTAATTCTTAGTTAGGCTGTTGACTTTTTAACAGAGTTGATGAACATGTTTGACCTTCTTTGTGCAATTACATGAAATAAACTAAATCCCTGTGGATAGCACTCTTTAGGAACCAGCAAGCAGTTAGTGTAGCTGTAGTATATTCATAGATTGGGAAAATATTACATCAATAACAAAAAATAGAGATAAATGCAAAAATGGAAAGTTTTAGAACATATTTAATACTCACAAAGTCTCAAAGAAGATTGTAACAGTGGTTTTAAAAGTATATATGAAAAGGATATGATAAGAACAGGCATTGTTTAAAGGATGAAATTTAAATAATCAACAAACACAAGAAAAAGTGCTCAGGATCACTAGCTATTAGGAAAATGCAAACAAAAACCACAGTGAGCTATCACTTTCATTTCACCCCAGTTAGAACGGCTATTATCTAAAAATTATTTAAAAAAATAAGAAATGCTGGTGAGGATGTGGAGAAAAAAATACCCTAATACATTGTTGATGTACAACCATTAATAAAGACAATGCAGAATTTCCTCAAACTTAAAATAGACCTATCTTATGACCCAGCTGTCCCACTCCTGGGAATAAATACAAAGGAAATGAAATCAAGAGTTATCTGCATTCCCATGTTTAGAGCAGCTCAATTCACAATGGCTAAGAGATGGAATCAATCTAGATGCCCATCAGCTGATAACTTAGTAAAGAAAATGTGATATATATATATATATACACACAATAGAATATTACTTGGCTATTAAAAAGAATGAAATCCTATGAGTCTGCTGTGTATCCCACTTTCCAGGTTGGATCATTCTCTCCCTTTTTTATTCTACCAGTTAGTATTAGCAGACACTAGTCTTGTTTGTGTGATCCCTTTGACTCTTAGACCTATCAGTGTGATCAATTGTGAACTGAAATTGATCACTTGGACTAGTGAGATGGCATTGGTACATGCAACCTTGATGGGATTGTATTGGAATCCCCTGGCACATTTCTAACTCTACCATTTTGGGCAAGTCCGATTGAGCATGTCCCAAATTGTACATCTCCTCCCTCTCTTATTCCCACTCTTATATTTAACAGGGATCACTTTTCAGTTAAATTTAAACAGCATTCTGGCCTCAGAATCAGCCCTTAAGGCATTCAGATCTGGCTGAAGAGCCCATGAGAGTATTTCAGGCATGGAAAGCCAAGGCACTCTGGGAAAAAAAAAAAACCTAAATGAAAGATCTCTGTGAGTGAGATCCCAGTGGAAAGAACGGGCCATCAAAGAAGGAGGTACCTTTCTCTGAAGGGAGGAGAGAAATTCCACGTTGACTATGACCCTGTCTGAAAAAGATTGAAGTTGGCGAACTCAAAAGGCTTCCATTGCCTTGGCAACTCATGACTAGAGCCTAGGGTGATTACGGACATTATAAACAAGAGTGTCAAATTGTTAAGCCAACAACAGGAGTCACTGTGTACTTACTCCTCATGTGGGATCTGTCCTTAATGTGTTGTCCAATGTGAAGTAATGCTAAAACTAGTACTCAAACAGTATTTTATACTTTGTGTTTCTGTGTGGGTGCAAACTGTTGAAAGCTTTACTTAATATATGCTAAATTGATCTTCTGTATATAAAGAGAATTGAAAATGAATCTTGATGTGATTGGATGGAGAGGAGCGGGAGATGGCAGGGTGCAGTGGGAGGAGTATGGGGGGGAAGCCATTGTAATTCATAAACTGTACTTTGGAAATTTATATTTACTAAATAAAAATAAAAAAAACACAAAGTAAATACTACTGATAAGATAACACACAAAAAAATGAAATCCTGACATTTGCAATAAAATGAGTATAACTATAGATGTTGAGTGAAACAAGCCAGAAACAAGAAAGAAAATATATCACGTTTTCTCTTATTTGTGGTAGTTAATATACAGAAATAGTATAAAAATTGTGTGGATGTCATATTGTTTGTTAGATAGTTGTAATACTGGTTCTCTGAATCATATCATGTAAATTACAATACACTCTTCACATGTTTAAAAAAGAAGGAGGGGAATAATGAAGACTCTTGGGGTATTAGTAATACTTATTTTTAATCTGGGTGTTAGTTATGAGTGTGATGACAAAAATACACATTTATCTTCATACTTATGTGCATTTCTTGATATGTAAACTGTATTTTAGTAAAATGTTAAAAACAAAAAATTCAGATAGGAAAAAATGCATAAAGCAAAAATAGGAGAATGTAGATCAAACATACTAAGCTTATTAAATAGAAGAAGAAGCAAAGTCACCTTTTAAAGTAAATACTTTGTCATGTCTATCAGAATGCTCAGGATCACTAGCCATTAGGAAATGCAAATTAAAACCACCATGAAGTTTCACCTCACCCCCCATTAGAATGGTTCTTATACAGAAATTAACAAACAATAACTGCTGGCAAGGATGTGGGGGAAAAGGTACCCTAATCTACTGTTAGTGGGAATGTAAATTGGTATAGCCACTGTGGAAGGCAGTATGGAGATACCTCAGAAATCTGAATATAGAGCTACCACATGACCCAGCCATCCCCCTCCTGGGAATTTACCCAAAGGAAAAGAAATAAGCATATGAAAGAGTCATCTGTACCTCCATGCTCACTGCAGCTCAATTCACAATAGCTAAGATATAGAATCAACCCAGATGTCCATCAATTGAAGACTGGATAAAGAAATTATGGTATGTATACGCTATGGAATATTGCACAGCAGTTAAAATGAAATCTTGTCGCTTGCAACAAAATGGATGCACCCTTTGCTGGCGCTGCGGCTCAACAGGCTAATCCTCCACCTAGCGGCGCTGGCACTCCGGGTTCTAGTCCCGGTCAGGGCGCCGGATTCTGTCCTGGTCACTCCTCTTCCTGTCCAGCTCTCTGCTGTGGCCCGGAAAGGCAGTGGAGGATGGCCCAAGTGCTTGGGCCCTGCACCAGCATGGGAGACCAGGAGAAGCGCCTGGCTCCTGGCTTCAGATCAGCACGGTGCGCTGGCCGCAGCAGCCATTGAGGGGTGAACCAATGGAAAAAAGAAGACATTTCTCTTGGTCTCTCTGTCTACTCCGCCTGTCAACAAACAAACAAACAAACAAAAAACAAGATGGATGCACCCAGAAACCATGATGCTTAGTGAAATTAGCCAGTCCCCAAAAGACAAATACCCTATGTTCTC